ATGATGCAAGTCTTGACTTGCAAAAAACGCGACGCGACTTATGTGCCACGCGACCCGACTGGTCTGTGGGCCACGCGACATACAATTAGTACCTCAGAAAAAAAAAATCAAAAAAGGGGAAAAATCATAGGATTTGAGAAAAAAGTCAAGTCAAAATATTAAACCGAAACTTAAAACAAGCTAATTTGACAATAATAACAGTTTGGCCCAGTGGACTGGATTTTCAGATTCTACTGTGGCGCTTAACGTGTCAATGTGACATTTCAATATTCGCCATCTAACAGACTAGATAAAGCTAGCCGATGCTACGTGCTATTGAACCTGACGATTGACTTTTATTTAAATAAACAATATATACATAATATACAATAAATAGTGAACATCTAGTACTAGTACCAAAATGGAAGAGATTAGCATAACATCTCGCACATCGCTGCTAAAGCGAGATCTGCACACCGCATTTGCCGACACGAAGGGGTTAGTAACGGCGTACAATGTAATATGCTAATCTCTTCCATTTTGGTACCCGAGTACAGCAAAAATAGCCAATTCTCAAGAACTCTTTTTCTTGTTCAAACGGTTCTCTTGTGCCTTCAAGATCACATCGGGATCGCGGATTGGCATATTTCTGCTTTTTCTGGGATCGACCAGTTCTGGGAGCAAGCAGTTCATGTAGAAGAATTTCAATTTCTCTTCCATTTCATTTTTCCAGAAAACGTCATCCTTTCGAATGACGTCTATTTTCAAACCATACGGGGTCCAAACACCAAGCACACAGTACTCTCTTTGTGCAACGTGTAGCTGCCCTTGAATTTGGTAATACCACTTATGTTTTTTATTTATTTCATCGTTTATCCAAAACGTAATTTTTTTGTTCAGAATGCCCTCTTCAGGGGTCATTTCTCTAGCCGACCATGGACATTTAATTTCTAGCAGACCTTTTTCGCCTATCAAACCATCTGGCGATGCTGCCAGAAATGGATGGGTCCTATCAATAAACAACCCGCAAGATTGTACTTCTGATTGCGAATATGATTTCTCTATTTCTGATTTTGCCACGCTTTCATGCCTTTTTCCATAGTCACATGCATTGCTAAAGAATTCGGTTGGGTATATTATGGCGTTTACTAGAGCTCTGCAACTTGTTGTATCTCTTCTTCTACAAACCTCACCAAACCGAGACGCAGTCAACCTCATTCTTCGATGAAGACGCCACAAATTGCGATCCTGAGATTTTGTGGCTTGCTCGATCTGGGAAATTTTGGAGTCGGTTTTTGCAAGTTTTTTCAAGAATTCTACCTTGGCAGCCTCTATATCGTCGTTGCTCATGTCAGGCTTCTCACAGAATTCCCCATAGGATGCGTTCTCTTTAGTACCACTATCTCTGATTTTAATTTTCCTTGGTTTCAGCTTCCTTTTCAGATTTTTGTGCGCTCTCCTTTCTTCAACTTTAGCAATCAAAGATGTTGGACTGAAACTAGGGAGTAGCCGCTTTTGGATCACACAAACAGGTCGCTGTGTATTGTGGCTCACTACGGCTGCAGCACATCTTCCTTGGTAGGATCTCTTCTTGCAATAATTAATCCGTTTACCCCCAATGTATTCAGCTATGATTGAGTTAAACTGCTCTACAATACTATTATCGACGTCATGAAGAAAACTTACTGCATTTTTAATCAGAATTGCCAGAAATGATATCAGCCTCTGGTGCAAATCTAAAAAAAAGGGTATACACACCTGGACTTGAAGATCCATGCCATCTGTCTCTGTTAGAGAATGCATATGCGAAACCTTGCTGTCATTTTTAAGCTAAAATAACATATAAAATATAGTTATAATAGTAACTACGTATAGTCTAATTTATTGGCAAAATGAATGCTAAAATTCATAATTGTTTTGGTACCTACTTTTCTATCTGGAAAACGTTTTTTTTCCTGTGCGTATTTAAATGCGGCTTCTTCGAGACGCCACGTTTATTTCTCTTATTGTTCATTTTTGATACCTTGATAAGAAAGACACTCAACAATAACAGCACAACAATAACAACACAACAATAACAACACGATAATACAACAATACAATAACGGTAATAAGAGTAATAAGGGCTGAGTATACTATGCGCCAAAATAGGGAAACAGTCGTACGCTAGATCGTATATCCAAATCAAATCCGACTCTGTGCAATATGCAAATTCAACCAGGCACGCGAACAGCACACCTCTGCGTATTACTATCCTTTTCTAACGTAGAGCGCTTGCCTTGTCACAACGCCGTCCTACTAGCCTTTCCCTATCACCCCCCCGATTCCCCTCAGAAACTCTGCTTGACTGTGAGAGCGCCGTTAAGTCTCCAGCTTACCTGGTCGAGTACGAGTTCAAATTGTTTAAAAACCTATTGTTGTGAATAACAGTATTCACAGCCATTTCCTATAAAAATAAAGTTGGTAAAGTTAAAATCGTAAGATGCTTAATAACATACTTACTAGACATTTGTGGATCAACCCCAGAAGTATAGTGTATACCTCAGTCGTGTCTCAACCTGAGCATAGTAAACAGAAACTATCTGTGCTTCAGTAATGACCGTTCGCAAATTTTTTATAAGATATGATTAGGAGTTTATCTTTGAAGCAATATATGCATAGTGGTCTTTAAAATTTAAACCTGTATCTACATACTCGTATATACAAGCACAAGAATTTTACTTGCGTGTCAAGGGACGTTCTTGAGTCATTAAAAGTGATATTTAATGATATAGGTTTCTTCTGGACGTTATGATATTGGCGTTTACATTTGAATCAAAATGTAATGATATCAGATATCACAGTAATTCAAAAATAACGATATCGGCCATCTCTATCACTGAAAGACGTTTCAATATTAAGAAGTGTCTGATCCTAATAATTTACGCACGTGTCGAATATTATATTATATTCACATTTTTTTAATGGCTTTTGTCCGATCCTCGAAGCTAAGCAACGGCCGAGTCTTCTTTTTGAAAATAGGCTTGTGTCAAGTAGGTCGACTCTATATTTCACATGCAACTGTTCTGATCGATGCTTTTGTATTATTGCTCGCATACGTTTGGAAATAGACCGATCATAATAACAATCTAACTGACAACATAATTGCATTTGAACTACAAAGTCAACCTACTTGACGCTATTGTTTGTTCAATATCCACAGCTTTTGATGCTTGTCGTTATGAAGTTGTTGGCGTGCCTGCCGTCGTCTCTGCTTGAGCCGTTTGGCCCCTTCCCTGTATACCGATATGTATACTAAGTGACATATAAATCTCAACACCCAGTTTAAATGGTTTTATTTTAATAAAAGTTGGTGAATGTATTTATCTTACTGTAAATAACAAGTGAAAAAATGTTCAGCCTTATCAGTTGGACATTCCGGTTTTTATACTGCTTTTTTTTAATTCACTAACGCTCTAAAAATGAATATTTCAGCGGCAGTATAGAATCAACGTTGGCGGATTTTGGTTCTTGCCATCCTTTACGATCGGTTACGGTGCCTAAAGTACGGAGACCTGTACGCTTTCGTCAACTTAGTGAGTTTGATAGGGGTCGTATAGTGGGACTTCGGGAAGCTGGACTTTCTTTTCGGGCAATTGCAGTTAGTATGCAAAGAAGTGTGGACACTGTGGTTAGGTGTTGTCAGGCATGGCTTCGAGAAGGCCATACGCAAAGAGCAAGGGGCACTGGACGCCGCCGTAGAACAACAGACCGTGAAGATCGCCGCCTAAGATTATTGGCCTTAAGGGACGGTTTCTCCACTACCAGGTCCATTGCAAATGAATGGTTTGCAGAACACGGAAGACCTATTGGCATGCGAAGTGTTTACCGACGAATGAGAAGTTTTGGCTTGTTTTCATACCGGCAACACTGGATCCTCCCTTTAACTCGAGAACATCGACGTAATCGCCTTGAGTGGTGCAGACAACGGTCACTCTGGGATCAGGAATGGAACAGTATTGTCTTTAGTGACGAGTCTCGATTTTGTTTAGGCATGCACGATGGTCGTGCCAGGGTTAGAAGGCGACGTGGTGAAAGGAGGAATCCACAGTTTTTTGTTGAAAGACATGTTCATCACACTGTTGGAGTTATGGTTTGGGGTGCTATAGCTTATGGTTCCAGGTCACCTTTGATCTTCATCAGAGGTAACATGAACGCGCAGCGTTATATCCACGAAGTTCTAGAACCCCATATTTTACCCTATCTTGACACCCTGGCAGATCCAACTTTCCAACAAGATAATGCCCGACCACATGTTGCAAGAGTCACAATAGACTTCTTTCAACATAATGATGTCACATTGTTACCATGGCCACCAAGATCTCCCGACTTATCCCCAATTGAGCACGTGTGGGATATGATGGGTAGGAGATTGCTCAATTTGCAACGTCCTCCTCAGACTCTAGAAGCACTTCGAGAGGAGTTGGTGGTTGCCTGGAATGAGATATCACAGGAGTACATTGACCACCTGATCAGAAGCATGCCCAGGCGCCTTGGCGAATGCGTGCATCCACACATTATTAAAGGTCAAAGGGTTTTTAAAGCAGTGCAATCATTTTGAAATTTTTATCATTTACTTATTATGCTTCATTAAGTACTTATACAAAATTTTATTAAAATAAAACCATTTAAACTGGGTGTTCGGATTTATATGTCACTTAGTATATTTCCTATGTGCAACTTCTCTGGTCGATTTTTATGTTTGGATATTCGTCAAGTAGGTTGACTCAGTACTTATGACGCATTGATATACACTAGAAACGGACTGACAAACTGTCATAAATGAAAATCACGGACTTGTGTGATGCAGATACCTACAAGCAACAGAAAGCTTGTAAACCGAAGTTCGAATGTTATCGCGAATTAGTTATTATCATGTTACAAAGTTTCAGAGATTCCTGCTCATTTTCAGACATTGTTGATGAAAATTGTAGGTTTCTTACCTTTGATCTTCTGTAAAACAATATTTTTGTTTGTTTCAGCTCTGGCCCTTTGCGACTGGTCTTCGATTCAGCAAACCAGGAGGTCCATAGCCAGGATCTACTGCTCTCCAAGGTTTACTTCTCTCCAGTACGACATGGTCAGCAACGTTGGAGTTCGTGAAATAGAATCTTTCCTATCAAACCTGAGCACCTTACCTGTCAACGAACCTACGGACATCAAACCAGCAGTTCTAGCGGCATGTGCCAACATGTTTACGCAGTACATGTGTTCCACCAGTTTTTCGTATGAAGATCAGGAGTTCAAAAAAACTGTTAGATTTTTCGACGAGATTTTCTGGGAGATCAACCAGGGGTATGCTGTGGACTTTATGCCGTGGCTTTTACCAGCTTATACTTACCACATGAGGAAACTTTCTACCTGGGCCACAGAAATAAGACGTTTCATTCTGAGCAGAATAGTAGATGATCACAAATCTACTCTAGATTTAAATTCACCACCTAGAGACTTCACAGATGCTCTATTGATGCATTTGGAAGAGGATTCGCACCTCAACTGGCAACATATCATTTTTGAATTAGAAGATTTCATTGGTGGACATTCAGCAGTAGGTAACCTGGTAATGGTCACCTTAGCAGAGATAGTAAAACACCCTGAGGTCCCTAAGCGCATTCAGGAAGAGGTAGATCATGTAACTCGTAGCCAACGGTGCCCTACTCTAGCTGATAAGCCCAATATGCCTTACACTGAGGCCACGCTTTGGGAGACGTTAAGAATGGCTTCCTCGCCTATTGTACCCCATGTCGCAAGTTCAGACACCGACATCGATGGGTTTGCCGTTCCAAAAGACACCATGGTCTTCATCAACAACTTGGAGCTGAACATGGGTGAAGAATACTGGACAGAACCCAAAAAGTTTATGCCAGAAAGGTTTCTGTCACCTGCTGGCAAAGTGGTGAAACCTGCGCACTTTATACCATTCAGCACAGGTAAAAGAACCTGTATTGGCCAAAGATTGGTCCAATGTTTCAGTTTCCTAATTATAGCGTCGCTTTTTCAAAATTATGACGTGACAGCCGGCGGCAAAATTGAGACAAAACCTGGTTGTCTAGCAGTGCACCCAGACTCGTTCAAGCTTGTACTAAGGCCTAGGGAAAGCTGTAAGGACTGAAGGGAGTAGTATTCGAAAAAATAAGCCGATATATTGCCTTGATTTCCCCTTCATCGAAATTTGTGAAGGAGGATGAAACCTGATCGGTTTAATTAGAGTACCTGCCTTGGATATTTCATTTATTATGAGACTGAGACTGAGGGGTTCGGGGCAGGGAAAAAATGTGATATTTAAAATTTTATAATTATGAAACGAGAAAGGTGATGACCGTAAGTGCATTCAGCTTGTCCGAGGAATTATCCGTGGACGGGATGAGTAGAAGTTACGTTGTCTCAAAAAAAAAATGAGACAAAGCAATGGCTCAACTAGGTTGATTTTTTGAGCATTTTTTGCGTTTTTAAATATATCCTATAAATGTCGACTTTTTATATATTATTATTATGGTCAGATAGTCATTTTTGTATTAATTGCTATTAATATTTCTGGTACTTTTTTGAAAATAGTACTGACTGTTTGCCAAAAATCAAAACGTAGTTTTATGACTAGTAAGTACAAGAGATATTCTACAGTAGCCTTTGTAAATATGAGCGCAAAATTGGACGTTTTTATATTCGTATTTATTGAAAACTAACAAAAAAATCATCCAATTTAATACAAGGTGAGTTTTTAGTGCGTTATACATATGTTGATGGAAAATATCCAAACATTTCCATCAATATACATGGTTATCCTAGTAATCGGACTCCCGTTCTGTTCTTTAAAAACATACGAAAAGGTGCTAAAAGTAACTTTTAATATCGTGTGATATTTCACTTTTAAGGATCCCCTAGACCCACGCCATTAGTCCGCTGCGATATTCGTGGCGATATATTCTCCTATAACTATCTAAAACTGTAATGACTCATCGATGTTCACGTGAACATCACTTAACTACCAGTAGTCGGCTGTTCATAGGCGGGGTATGAATGTTTAACATGGGTGAACTAGATGCCACATTTTTGTTTCTTCCTTCACAACATGACGGATAGCATTCTGCCAAGCTTCGGCGTTACTAGCTGTATGGAAGTCTCAAGTAAAACCTTAACGTCTGGTAGTTTGAAGGTTGTGTTATGGCGCGCAATATAAACCTTCACTTGAGCCCAGATGAGCTCTATTGGGTTCAGTTCACAGTGGTAGGGCGGTAACCGCAGCACAGTGACACCACATTGACGGGCCATCTCATCAGTCACGTAACTAATGTTCGCAGGTTTGTGCTGTTTAATTTTTTCATACAATTCCGCTTTCACACATGAATCGTCAAACGGGATTCCTTTTTCGCGCAACCATTGCCGCATGTCACTTTTTCGAGATCCCATAGTCGGTACACGTTCGGCTCGACGATTATGGTAGAAAGCATTATCCATGACGATCACAGAGTTGGGCTCAACTCGCTGAAGCACCCCTTGAAACCAGCTCTCGAAGCAGCTGGCATTCATTTCGTCATGGTAATCACCTCCTTTCTTAGAGACGAAAATCAAGTCACACTCTTCTAAAAAGCCACTATCGCTACCAATATGAGTTACGATCAATCTTTGACCTTTCCCTGACGGTCCACGAAGACCTGTTGACAAACCTTCAATGCTTGCTTGTCGGTTACTCACTACGTTTTTGTCTATCCAGGTTTTTTTAACTGTGTGACCTGCATTTACCCATGTCTCGTCCAAATAATAGATTTTTCTGCTTTGTCGCCTATATTCAATCATTTCGCGTAGGTATTTTCGACGCCAGACGACTATTTCAGGTCTCTCTATCAATACTGACTTCCTATTACGCGTTTCGTAACGAAAATTAATTTCGTGCAGGGATTTCCTCATTACCTCGACGCTCATTTGGGGTATAATTTCATTTTCCTTGATTTTCCATGTACAGCCTTGAGGGTTGGTATCTCATTCCTAAAGAAGAATGAATGTACGGTTCGCCTTAACGCCATTTTGCTATCGTCATCCAATTTAACGGCCTTTCGTCCCTTCAAATTAAACTTTGGATCAGTAGTAGCTCCAGTTTTCTTCTTTTCATGCACCACCCTGCGAATGGTCCACTCTGGAACGCCTGTCATACTTTCACAACGCGCGAGTGCATCTCCCTGCGATATAGTTCTGTTCAGATAATTGAACACGTTGAGCACGATTTCTTTCGCGTCCCTCTTCAGTGCTTTACGAAGCAGTCTACTTGTTCCCTGGCTTTCAGTACTTCCACTCGTGCCATTTGTACTCTCCATGGTTAAGTGTAACCAAAACAGTAACCACAGAAACCACAACAATAACAATCACACAACAATTCTTATAAAAACACACAATATGCGATCGCTCAACGAAACACATTCCAATGCGTTGCCGACGCCTATGAGTCTGCCGGTCGAGGCGCGTCTTTGATTTCATTGGTTCTACCGGCGGAGAACAATCAGCCATTATTTCCATCTCTGTCTGTGCTGTTGACCACCGCAAAGCCACAGAAACGTCATATGTCGTACGCTATACGGCTGTACTGGAAGGAAGCCGGGATCGAGCTCTGATCACGTGTTGATCACGCGTATAAGTCATTACAGTTTTAAATAGTTGTAGTATACGAATATTTGAGGGACTTTTCATATCAAAGCGAGAAGATTGCAGTGGATTGACAGTAGACGGTGTGAGAGTGTCGCTTTTAAACCAAATTAAAAAATGTATTCTTCAGATGAAGCAATTCTATTTCTCGCTTTGGAGGACGAAGAACGGGGTAGGTATGAATTCCTTGCAATACCTACGTTAGATAATCTAGATCCATTACAAGCCTTTCCTAACATCGAAAATGATTCAAGACGTCCAACGAATCTGTCATTTTCTATTTTTGGTCAAGATCAGTTTAGCTATGCCAATAATAAAATATATTAAAATTATTCTTCAGTATAAAGAGGTTGTCTCATCAGTGTCATTTAATTCCGCTCCTATATCATCGCGAATTTTTTTCTTTTTTACGAACATTTTTATAGTCCCCGTTACTTAAGTCGTAAAGAATTGGAAATTGTTTAATTACTTTTCAGTATTTGCCATTGCGACAGCGAATAAAAACCGTGCAAGCAGACTAAGATTTAGACGCTGTACTGTCGCGCCGCTACTGGCGAAACTGACGCACCTGGTCCGTTCTTTTTTATTTACTTCTGGCAGAGTAGTTTCTGAGCGACAATGTCGTCGCAAATCATTCGCAGTTGGCGCGAAATATTCGCGACGGTCTGGGGGATCCTTAATCATCGTTGAAAATTTTTATTAAAAAAAAAACCTTACACTTCCCCGATTCGAAAATAGGTGCCAGAACCAGAAACTTGGTAGCCTAAGGGCCGTATCGTCAGTCGTTCCTACAATTGTAGGACGCCTTCATGGCCTTCTTGATTGATATAGTTTTCTACAACCTACTTCACAACCCCGATAGCATTAAATATTTAAAAAAAAATGTTTGTTAAATATTTGTAACGACAATATCCCCATATGAGAATAAATTCTGACGAAACGTTCGTCTTCTATGGCTCCTGTAAGGAAAGCTTCGATTACAACCACAAACTCACCCTGTATCGTTTATTAAGCCGGAAGCAAATATCGTATGCCACATATATGTATTTTTAACAATGGTTTACGATTCATTTAAACAAGTATTAATGGAATGAAGATTAGACAGTAAGTAATCATGTAATTCTTTTCTTGAGGTGAGAATAAGACTGCTCATATTTGTGGACAGCATAAAATGGTACTTGATTTTCCATAGTATACAGAGGCTTTATTGTATATTTTTGACATTTGTTTGAGTGAAACTGAAATGCAAGTTTCAGTTTATCTAAAAAACCCATTTTAAATACCTGTTAGTCAAAGCGAAAGCCTTTGCATTCCTGGGAGAAAGGATGAGGGTCTATAAGCGGGTTTTTCCGCCCTGAATATAATTAAAATCTCAAGTTGATCGCATCTTAGAAATTTTTGCGTTTAAATATTTTAGAAGCATACGTATTTTACAGTTCCGTCAGAATTTTTTTATCACTTGATTGTTTTTTTGGAGGCCAAACTTCGCAATAAAAACCCTGATCCTTTTCCGAATCAATTTTTTAATAATATCACGCTTGATGGATACCGCTTAACATGTATTAAGAGATTTTCTGTTGTCGGGCTGTAACCTGGTGCAGATTCGTTTAAGCAATTTTCAAACAAATTCAAACAAAAAGTGTTCTTTCACTTTAGAAGTTTTTTAGATTAATCTGAATAACTAAGGTCCTTGATAACTTTCCAAAAAAGTATGTAGCACGACACAACATAAAAATCGCTGGGTCGCTCTCAGTAGATTCTGTACAAGAGCTCTGTATCGAAATCTCGTGAAAGGAAGAAAGCGAATATTTTGTTAGCTCACCATGTTTAGGCGCTCCATGTGGAATCCTGGACAGCTATCATGACGTTATCTCAGTAACCGTTGCACATATTTTGATAAAATATAGGCATTTAATATTTTATTTTCACCCTTACAGTGATTGCAATTCATTCAGGATAACTTAAGCTAAAGTGTACTCAACTCCCGCTGAAACGGAGCGCGTGACGTTTAAATTGAAAGCTTGCAGTGTAGTTTTTGAAATTCGGTTAGTGGCGGTGGAGAAAATGGTCAAAAATCGAAGTTCAACCTCCCCTTAATCAAGTAGTATTTTGAGCTTGGTTTATTTCAAAGCTTTGTTCTTTAATAGAACATATGGTGTTTCACAGACCCCAAATCGCTTAAGAATCGAAAATGGTTAACCTCAGAGAAAAGCTACCGAGGACCTTTTTTCAGAATGATTCGAATAAACCTAAGAAAACTTGAGCGAAAAACAAAAGTTGTATAAAGAAATTACTTCAACAGATTTGTTAAGGGTCACCCAACAAACACGGTTATGAAAAAGTCCAGTCGGAAAATGTATATTACGAATGTGGGGTCCTCGCCTCATCTATATAGAGATGTAATATATTATGTATCCTTGTTTCAAAGTCTTGATCGTCTTGAATACAAGTTAGGATTTCTGGTAATACTGATATGTGAATCTGTTAAAATACAATCTATATCCCAGAAATTGTTACACTACTATAACTAATAGGCTTACACATTGTGACATCACCACAGTCTGCTTTACTGCATCATATCATTATGAATTATTGCATTGTATATAGTCCATTTCAATTTATTGTGAAGGTTTATTTGTTATTTATCTTTTTTATCTTCTCCCCAGTGTTCGGTGTAATGAGATTTTTAATAAATGGATTATGTTCATTTAACAATGTTTTTTTGATTCCATCTGAAGAATCCTTCCTCAATAACCCCTTGAGAAACAGTCAGAATCGACCTGTTGAATATACAGGGTGTCTCAATATTTTTTTACACAAGTGCCTAAGGTTAGTAGAACTGGGAAAAGCTTGCTCTTATCGATTTTCCACAATCTCGACACCCTCAGTTCTGGATGTACGAAGTTTGACACTAGTCATTCTGTCGAGATTTACTAAAAATCGGGGTGTATGGAAGCGAAACTATTTTTTTGTATCTAAAAGAGTTTTTATTGTCATTCTGTAAACTGTTTCTAAACACATAGGAGTTTTCGTCAAAACAACGACGCTATACAGTATATTCAGATAAGAGATAGACCGGATCTAAACAAAAGGTTCGGGTGATTTTCACGCTAACGCCGCCGTCTCGACGTAAAACAGGAGCCCTCATTGGTCAATTCGCAATTAAATGCCTATGCCGAGCGGCAGAGCAGTCAGGTCAGGTCAGGTTCAGACGTGTTACGTATGTCGTGTGCATCATTGCCATTTGATATTTCTTTGGACGTTTTCGTTTGTTATCTTATTAAGTTGTTGAGTTTGTCGCTGTTATTGTTATACCTTGTTATTGATTGTTATTGTTATCAACTGCTTGCGCAAAATGCCCAGTAGTACAGATACTGCCGATGAAGTTGTAAACTCCTGTAGTCCACCTAGGAAACGCTCTAAAAAAAGACACCTGAGTGCAGAAATGAAAGAGGTCATTTTGAATATATATAAGATCGAGCGCGAGGAGAACGAGGCATCAACCATCAAAGAAATTGTTGTGAAGGTTTCTCACAAAGTTGGGGTGTGTCGCGCATCAGTGTTTAATGTGTTAAGACAATACAAAAAAAATCACACCTTTTCTGAGCCAATGACCAGTAAACATCGCAAAAGTATTGTTAAATCATTGGATGAAGCTGATAAGCATGCGATTAGGAGGAAAGTGCATGAATTCTTCTTTAGGAATGAAATACCTACTATAGATAAAGTACTGCAGGAGGTAAATGGAGATACAACGTTGCCAAATTACAAACGATCAACTTTCCATGCGTTACTGAAGCATTTAAATTTCAAATGGAAAAAACGGGGTCGTAATAGTTTACTACTGGATAGAGAAGAAATTGTGCTATGGAGGAGGGATTATTTAACAAAAATTGGGAAATATAGAAATCAAAACAGGAAGATTTATTACCTTGATGAAACGTGGGTAAACGCAGGACACACTACAAGTACAGTATGGGTTGATGATTCTGTAACTTCATCCAGGAGGGCCTTTCTAGATGGACTGTCCACCGGATTAAAAAATCCAGCAGGTAAATACGAGTAATAGACAACAATCGGATGTTTTTCAAACCTTGGGAACAAGGTTCTAAACATTAATTCCAGGGGGCAGATAAAACATATTACAAGTAACAAAACTTTTATAACTTTCGATAAAATGCGTGGATGTTTTATTGTCATTTTCATTTGTTAGAACTTTTTTAAGCCATGTTTTTATGTGTTTTCGATATTTCAATAATTTTTTAATATAATCTTAAAATATGTCGAATATTATAAACTCAAAAAAAGTTACTAAGTTTTATGTTGTGTACCGTTCCTAATATTTCTAATCATTTTAATTCATACTTTAAGCTTTATAAAGTTATAATTTGTTAATATTAATATTTGCGCGTATTTCAGGTTCCTGATAATTCATTTTTTAAAGGTTTATAACTTTAGATTAAATTGTGAAGCGCTGAGTAATCATACGACGTTCAATATTCTTTCTTTTAATATGACTAAATAATCCCAATTATAGCAATCTGATACTCATGTCTCAATGTTTTTTTCGCTGAATGTGATGAAAACATTTGAAAAAGGTTCGCTTATTGAAGTAAATCTACACCAGTTAGTACTTCGATTTCCAGGTAAAGGGAAAAGGCTCATTATCTGCCATATTGGCAGTGAGGATGGATTTGTTGTTGACGGTCTGTGGTGCTTTGAGTCTAAGAAAACTGGAGATTACCACGAGGAAATGAATGGCGAATCGTTTGAACAGTGGTTTTCAAAAATTTTACCCAACTTAGAGGAAAACGCAGTAATTGTGTTGGATAATGCGCCTTATCATTCTCGAAGAATGGAGAAGGTCCCAACAACGGCTTCAAGGAAAGTTGATGTTCAAAATTGGCTCCGCTCGAAAAATATCAACTTTGAAGAAGCAATGCTGAAAGTACAATTATTAAGAATTGTCAAGGATCACAAGGCGGAATATCAAAAATACGAAATGGCAGCAAGTCAAAATAAAACTGTGCTTCGTTTACCTCCATACCACTGCGAGCTCAATCCCATTGAGCTCATATGGGCAGAGGTTAAAAATTATATAGCTAAGCACAATACAACTTTTAAATTTTGTGACCTCAAAGGACTTTTCAAAGAAGCACTAGAATTAATAACAGCGCAAAAATGGGAAAACTGTATTAAGCACGTGAAAGACATAGTTGAAAAGAGAATGTGGGAACTGGACAATATTTTAGAGGAACAAGTCGAGCCATTCATTATTGACGTTGGTGCTTCAGGCAGTAGCGATGATGAAAGCTCATCAAGCTCATCTTTCCAATAAAAGATGTCGTTCATCAAATTCGGTAAGTTATAAGTAATTATAAAGCTACTGTATTTTTTAATTAATTATTGACATTTTTGAACCCATTTTGGCAAAACCTATTCAAGAATCTACTTTCTGACAATGTTCAACCATGCACATTTTTTTACGTTTTGAACGTTTTAATTTGGTTACATATTTACCTAGAAATCAAAAAATATACTAATCAATATTCTAAAAGCAATTTTAAGAGATATACGATTATTTTTAATCTAGGCTAATTTAAACGCCATTTTGAGATTGTATTCGACTGTATTTCACCAAACATCAGGCGGCATCCGAAGCTTGAAATCGAAGCGAAAATTTTGAAACCCTTATGTATATTTACATCATTATATATTTCTTACCCCACCCCCACATGATCCTATATCCATCACCAATCGTATACACATCGAATTGTGCTAATTTACTACAAAGTTGCGCAAAGCAGCATCTACTATCTAAAATATGTACTGCGTGACTCTTAATACGTCCCTGCCGAATGTTACAGCGTTCGATGATCACGTGGTCTTGTTTATGTCCGGTCTATCTCTTATCTGAATATACTGTAGTGCTTTATAAAATGATAACAGTGCGTGGGAAGTGCAGAGTCGACCTACTTGACGCCATTTGTTTCATTTGTAAGTGGTACAGTAGTGAATATTTAATGACAGCGTTGCCTAAAAAAGTTCCGGACAATTAAACAATCATTTAGATTTCTCGAATTGTCATCGTCGAGACATTTTAGCTGATGTATGCAATGGTAATTATATCAATTTTTACTTCATAAGCGCAATATAACACCTGAGCTATTTGTAACAAAAGTTGTACCAGTAGAACGATTTTATGTCATTTAATGGATTTTCAGTCTATCGGTAATTTATTTATCACAGTATCACACATCCTGATTAGGAAACGTTAACAATATTCAATAACTGCGGCTTAATTTAAACGACAGTTTGCAGATCAAGTCGTTAGCGAAATCAGAGTTATTTTTATTATACTGCTGCAGCCCTTTAAGCAGAAATCTACAGAGAGCTAAAAGACACTTTGTTAATCCGATTCTTGAACTGCCTATGGTTCGCAGAACTCGAAAACGGCTCACCAGGCAAATTTTTGCACAATCTCGACACCCTTGGAGCATGGGAGCGGTCGTACCGGCCAGTTCTGTATATACGAAGTTCGACGAGTTAGGATTGGACGCAGAAGCCTGGTAGGCAAGTTATCAATAAAGACAAGTAGTCTTGCGGAAACTTAGACACAATAAAAGGACGTGAGCAGAAATACTAGGATTGATAACCCGAGCGACGTACGTTTCTGCTTATTGGCTTCATCAGGCCTAAGTCTATGTGCATCGAAAACACCAACATCTGGATACGGGTGTAACCTGAAATAATACAAGAATGGAAAGGAAACTATAACTAGAAGTCACCAACAAGAGCATGCAGGCACATTTGTGGTTTCAGCCAGCCAACAAGAAGAAACGTACATCGCTCGGGTTATCAATTTGTCTATTTGTGCTCCTGTTATTTTATTACGATTGTCCTTCGTTAACAGTAATGCAGTGCTTTTCATGAACAACACTATAGATTTATCCATTCATTGCAATATAATATCCCCTACCAAACATCTACTTTACTCAAACCCAGCCCTACTCCGAGCTAAACACCATGAAGGCAGCCAAGAAGGTCAAACCCAAGGTCATACTTAAGAGCGCCAAGAGGGTAAGCCTTGGGCACAGCATGTACAGGGTGTTAATTAAGTATGTACCATAAGCTTATCAGATGATTTTTTAAGTAATTTTAAGACAAAAAAGTTCATATAAACATAGGTCCGCAAATTCTTCGTTCTCAAGTTACAGGGTATTAAAATTAAAAAAAAAGGTTTTTCGAAAATTTGTTAATATTTTTTACCTAATCTTAGGAGCTAATTTAGCCCTAACTTGATTAAATTTATTAAGTCCAGTGGATTCTCGAGCGGGATCTAAACGAATATTTGTGACAAAATGATGTACGTCACTGACTTTTGTGCAATTTTTATTATGTTCTTTGGATTCAGCAAATAGAAATAACAACGTTTTTGTCTCCTGAATTTATTTTGTATCTTGCTTAGTTTTCGAGAAAAAAAGTCCAAAAGTCCTTAGACCCGAATCAAGACAGCAGTTTAAAGTCCACTTAATTGCATATCCCTTGACCACACAAGGAAAATGGGAAGACGTTTTGAAAATTATTTTTTTTATAATTTATTAATAGAATGGCTCATGGAAACTCTACTGCCGCAAGACGCATTTACCATAAAGGATTGCCTTAGCGTATAGTGCCTAATAGAAGAAC